AATGTTCTTCTTCGTCTCTTTAAAGGCAGTGGCTCGGCAAATTTCAACCTAGTCAAATTTTCGCTTACCTGGGGTCAATCACGAAAATCCACTTTAGAAGGCTCGAAAACGGCGAAAACGAGCGTTTTTCAACCCCCTTCCCTTCAAAATTGGACGAGTGGACCTGATGACGCTGAATGATTATAGCATTGCGGCGGGCAGCCTCCAATGGTGAGAAGGAAGTTCGTCAACTTGTCCGGGTGCGTGTAAGATTGGCTTGCGCATGTAAATTTGAGAGCGATTTTCTCGACAGGGAAGGGCATGCTGTGCAACCGGGATTGCACTGTTTTCATACTTGGACGATAAGGAACCTACTGCGTTAAGATCCTGGGTTGTGTTTTGCCGATCCACTGCCTTTAATCGATGGATGACCTCTGCTGCTACAGAGGCTACATCAGCGCAGATCTAATGTCGCATGGAAGTGCGCTAGCGTTTTCTGACATAGTGTTATGCTGGAATGGTGTTTCCCTACTGCTCTTCCTTCAAAGTAAGCTTTTTGCTATTTGACATTTCACTATTCATTGCGCATTTTACTGTACATTTATTCTTCTTTTATAATTTTTTTCTTTCAAAGAGTAAGACGAGAAAACACCGCTGGTGGGTTGATTGGATTTTACTTTTGGAATATTTTTGTCTTTTGTTTTCTAGCTTTTTCGGGTGACGGTTGGACAAAGTTGTCAATCGTTTTTGTGTCTACACCGTCTTTTTCTTTGATGATCGCATTGCTTCTCTCAGTCTCACTCCTCGCTTCGTATTCTACGTTTGCTTTTCCACTGCTAAACCGTTTCTACATACGTTATGGATATGTGAACCTCTTGGTGTGCAGAAGGAGAAGCTACATATGTGAAGCAGCACAACTTTCAACTTTTCACCCCTTTTCAACCCGTTTTTCTTTTCAATCCACATTCTTCCATTGCTACGTTTCTATCCAGCTTTGATGCAATCTTCGTGTCGCATCTTCGTTTTCGCCCTTGCATTCTTTTTCTCCATTCCGTGGACTTCTTCCTTCTAGTTCACTATGGGTATCTACCCCCGCTTCTCGCGAGGCTCCTTCCGATGCAAGACAGTTTGCTGAAGCCGCAGTCATTGATTTTGATCTACGTCGTTTCAGTCGTCCAGTTTGGGCGTCTCCAACCAAGACCTTAGTGTTATAGAATGAGTTTCTGACAACAACAACAACTCTCTAATCTGCTGGAAAGCCTGGGGTTTCTTGCTGTTTTGAGCGTGTCCACCCCTGAACGAAGGCTTCAGTATGTGCGGCAAGAGCATGCCTTGTTTTTGGAAACGCGATTCCGGATTTTCGATGAATATTTGGTGACGCGCAGGCCCGAGGGGTTTCTTGATTTCATTAGGCTTTTGCCGGATGAGTTTGAGATTTGAACGAAAGGATAGGAAGGAACTAGAGCATGCCCACACACACGCGGGACCCATGAGCGGTCGCCACAGACTCATGGTCTATTTGAGGTAAAGGCGTTGCGAATAAACTGCTAACTTTACGGTATCGGCTCTGTATGCCAACACAAATTTGTGACACAGAGAAAAACCTTGACCGGTTACGCTTTAGATAGAGGAATGGGGAGGTCGACGGTATCGAAAGTGGTTGAAGAAGTCACAGAGGCGATAATGAGGGGTACAAGCCTCTCCTGTTCAAAGCTTAATCAATTGCATCAATTCAGTCTTGCACAGTGCTGCCTTTCCGCGCTTGACGCGGGAGAGCCTGGAGCAAGTAGCTAGGAGAGCGCAAGAAATTTTTGACTATCCCAGGGCCGTAGGATTTATGGATGGGAAGCATACAAGTCTTCAGGTTAATTTGATCAGATATCATGAATTACATTTTCAAGCGGTAATAGTTCAGAAGCCTGCTCGCTCGGGCAACGCTTATTGGAACTATAAGCACTACCACTCCATTATCCTCTTAGCCATATGTGACTGTGATAATCGCATCATGGCTTACGATATAGATGCTTCTGGCCATGCTGCTGATGCAGGGGTTTTCCGCTCATCTGTCGTCAAGGTCTGTTACTTCACAAAAATGGCAGAGTCAAGTTTGGAGATGTTCAGAGATACCTGGATTGTACGATGACTCCCTCTTACTGCCGACCTTGGCGAAGTAGGCCCCGTCCAGTTTCATTTCCTCGTGAACGGCGGATTCGCACAGAGTCATAGGTTGATTCGACCAAACAAGCAGAGGGAGGCCAACACACGAGATGGGAAGCGGTTCAATAAGAAATTGAGCGAGTAAGGTTGGATTGTTCACGTCGCACTTTCAAATGATTATTGTAGAGTTCGCCGAACGATAGAATCTACTTTCGGGATGTTAGCTCAACGGTTTCCAATCTTGATGACCCGCCTGACTTTGGATCCCGATCGAGTTAAACGACTTGTTATCTTTTTTATGGTTCGTGCGCGTTATTACCGGGGTGGGAAGCGATGGCAAAAGAACAAATTTAGATTCTTCACAACCTTCAATCTCGAAGAGAAAACAGCTTAGCAGGTGTTCCGAGGCACGGACCTGCACCAAACTCCTACCATCCTTTGCAAAGAGGATTGGCACGTGTCTCGGAATCGGGCAGTATAGCAAGGGACAAGATCACTCAGTATTATGTTGATAAAGACGGGCCCGCAAGATAATCCACATCTCTGTTTTGGTACTTATTTGTGTATAAAGCCCTATTTTACCATTTTGCATTCATCTTTTGCTACTCGAGGATAACACATGAAGTGTATGTGTGTTCAAATAGAAATTTATGTTCCTGAACTAGTGCGGACCGAGCTTGGCACACACACTTCGAAGCTGGACAGATGTAGTAGGGTACTTCTCCTTGTTTTTATGAGAATTTATCGATTTTTTTGCGAAGTTTGAGTTACGCGGCTGTTGGAAGTTGTGAAATCCGAGCAAATAGATATATTGTTGCGCATATGTTTTTAGCACAGTGGGCTAGGTGTGACTATGGCTATAACGAAAGTAACAATTTGTAAAAATACCTTCTGCTTTCCTCTGCATTGACTATTCACAATTTGGTTTGAGGAACCTAGATTGTGCAGAGGGACAAACAAGAGAATTGGATCTTTGTCATGGTTCTCAGATAATCGCCGCGGGCCGGCCATGCGATTTATGGGCGGGCGGGCACCGGAAAAATAGTTCGCTGATTTCTTGCGGTCCGCTTGCAGATATTTGGAAGAATAGCGGAATTTGAGACGAATGCTTGGAGAACAATTGTGGTTTCCTTATAGATTAGCTGCGGCGCAGTGGCCGCATTCTCGCGGACTTTCCGCGAGAATATGCAAAATTTTTGAGGGCCGCACGGTCCTTTATGGAGGACCGCGCATCCCCAGGTACTTTCCGCTGAGAGAAAGTACCTCGAACTTGGTAATTAAACAGTAACGCTACTTCCCTTAGAGTCTTACCTCTGCTCGGCGTACGCCCGAAAATGCTTTTAAAAAGCCCGAGCGCCTGCTGAAAGTTTGGCCAGCGCTCGCTGAAAGAAATTATTTGACGAGCGCCTGAAGAAAATTCTGTGTTGCTGCCCGCTGGCAGAACATTAGACAGTAAAGGAAGTACCGCTCGCTGAAGGTTTGGCCACGTCCCAAAATTCTGCTGGCCGCATGCGGAAAAGCGCGAGATTGCGGACCGCCTGCCGGCGATTATCTGAGTTGTCGATCGAGGGGTTAAGCAGGGTATTAGCTAGTCATGATCAGCATTGATTTTCTGATCTTACACCTTTGCTTTGAATGGAGATATTTGCTACTGAAAGGAAAACCAACTAGTATTCTCAACACCTTCATTACTTCTTCACCGTCTCAGACAATCGCCGGGGCAGGCGGTTCGCAAACTCGCGCTTTTCCGCAAGCGGCCAGCAGAATTTTGGGGCGTGGCCAAACCTTCAGCGAGCGGTACTTCCTTTACTGTCTAATGTTCTGCCAGTGGGCAGCAACACAGAATTTTCTTCAGGCGCTCGTCAAATAATTTCTTTCAGCGAGCGCTGGCCAAACTTTCAGCAGACGCTCGGGCTTTTTTAAAGCATTTTCGGGCGTACGCCGAGCAGAGGTAAGACTCTAAGGGAAGAGGCGTTACTGTTTAATTACCAAGTTCGAGGTACTTTCTCTCAGCGGAAAGTACCTGGGGATGCGCGGTCCTCCATAAAGGACCGTGCGGCCCTCAAAAATTTTGCATATTCTCGCGGAAAGTCCGCGAGAATGCGGCCACTGCGCCGCAGCTAATCTATAAGGAAACCGCAATTGTTCTCCAAGCATTCGTCTCAAATTCCGCTATTCTTCCAAATATCTGCAAGCGGACCGCAAGAAATCAGCGAACTATTTTTCCGGTGCCCGCCCGCCCATAAATCGCATGGCCGCCTGCCCCTGGCGATTATCTGAGGTTACAATCAAAACTTTACGAAGATAATGAAGTATGACACAATAGGACAACAAATGAATGAAAAAAAGTAGGACAATCTTCTTGACATGTATACGGAAGTTAGACCAAGCGGACAAGATAGATGATTGGGGCAAGTGCCAAGCTTATCAGCTGCCGCTTCATCCACTTCGTTGATTATTCAAGCCAGTGATCAGTTACTGATTTGACCAGTCAGAGAAATGGGTGAAGCGTCTAAGCGGATAAGCCTGGCACCTTGCTTACGACTGACCAATCAGAGCTTCGTAGGCATTGGAGTAAAGGAACAATGAGTCGTAATGTAAACTTCTGGTACAAAAAAAAGAAACAGTAGTCTTCTGATGCATCATGAAAACCGGAACAGTGAAATTAAAGTGGCAGAACACAATACGAGTGAGAGTCACTCCGGTACTGAGGAGGTGGATTTGCACATTCTGGATGACCACTTCATCCTCGTATCTGATTTCTTCGCATACGGTACTCATGATCCGTTGCATTCTATGGCGTGCGAATATAATGTCCATATTTCTTAGCTCTTTCGCAACAAGATTACCTAAGAAAAGAATTATTACTTCACTGTGAGTTTTCCACAAAGACTCCAAAGTGCGAATTTATCGGTTTTCTTCAGCTTTTCCAGATGCTTTTTAATGGAATCTGTTGCTTCACGTACCAGATTCTGTTCTAAAATACTGCAAATGATCTTTTGACCTTAGAAGTGCATTCACTTACCTTCTTCACCAAGTCTAGCCCTCTTCGCGACACTTTTCTTCCCCGGTATTGCACTTCTTGCCCAGAAGGGGATAAGGGGGCTCCATTTGCTGGCTGTCGATGCATCCGATTCCTGTGATGGTCTGCGTCCGAGTGATTCTCGCATCCTAAGCGGATCTGGAGGCTCTGAAATTGGTTCAAAATAGTCCAGATCAGATAACATCTTTTCTGATGTATTACTTCTTTTGCCGAGAAGAGTATAGGGGCGTCACACTCCATTTGCTGGCTGGAAGGTGCATCTGACTCTTGCGATCTGCGTCAGGGTGGTTCTTGCGGCGCAGGCTAATTTGGAGGCTCTAAAATGGCTTCAAAATCTGATGAATCAAATCTTAACTCAGTTAAAAACGTACCGTTTTCATTCTTGATTCAAACACTGTCGAACTCGCTGAATAAATTTACCTAGAAATTCCGTGAACTCTCCTTGCTTCGGAGCCACTGCTAAAGTTTCTGTTTCTCAAGTAGCTGTCTCGTAGCCTCTTCCACATGTTTTTTAAGTAATTTACTGGAATCAGCGAATAGAATTGTTTGATTAATTTCCGTCCACGCACCATCACATATGTGTCCTCTCTGTGCCATTTTTTTGCGCGATGCCTTCCCATCCTTCGGCGCGCTTTTTTCTATGTGGTAGCCCTCCAGCCTCACATTCCAAACCACAGGTGTTTCCCCTACGAGCTGACACAGATCCTCCCGTATATGTATGGTCGACAGACCCAAAATTGGAGATAAGGGCACGTTGTTGAACGAAACGATTCACAACATGAAGAGTTTACCAACTCGTAGGCGTTTTGTTCGAAATGCTTCTTCTACGGCACACGACACGCTTTACAATGCTCAATGTCTGAAATGAAAACAAGATAGTGTGCACACAGTTCATGCGATGACGTTACTTTAAAGGAAAATTGTTAGTTATTCACATTTTCAATACATGGAACTAGACTCAAACCCTCTTTTGAATCTATTGACACTAACACAGACCATTAGCGGCGAGCATTATCAGAGCATCAGAGCATATGTACTAAAGAATTGACTGACTTAAAGCGCGTGCAGATGAAAGGGGAGGGGGGAGTCAGCCCCGCATATCTTGTACAAGGCGGCCACTTTACGTCTAACTTCATTCCAGCAACTCGAACAGCCAAAGTCGCAGCAAAGCCATTAATGCGTATCCAGAATGCAATGCCCACCTTGAAAGGAAGCAAGATAGCCGCTGCACTTGTGCTGACAGTCAAGGGAGTTGAATCGAGAGAAACAACTGTGCACCAGGAGTTGTCCCGCAAGGGTGCCCGCGAATATTATGTTAATCTGAAAAGATGAAAGATAGAAACTCTCATAGTGTACATAGAAGCATGCATCGGCAAAAACCAACGAGCAAGCATCGGAGAAGTTGCCTAGTTTTCTCAGAATGCGTAACCTGCGCCGGCGCTGAGGAGACATGCCAACATATGACGCTACCTGAGGTCCCGATGGGAACTGCGAGTACCCATTCTGCCGGCGCTGAGGCTGTCACAGGCCGGCACAGGTCGGCACTTGGAGAAAAGGACTTGAATTAAAAAATTTCCTTCTTGACATAGATATGTGAGCATACTCATTCAAAAAGAAACAACAACAGAATTCATGAATAATCAACTCATACAGGCAAAGGCGAACACACTGTCAAGAAGACGATAGACAGACAAGAGTACAACAACAAGAATAATCAAGTGAAAGGACCGGCTTGCGAACACAACACACATGCCCCAGCGCCAAACTTGCGAGAGGGCGTTCTGGCGCTTTTGGGCTTTTTTGGGCTTTTTCGGAGAAAAAGTTAAATGCTCAAAATAACAACCGTACCTGCGTCTTCGGCAGGTTTTTGCGCAGGACCCACACCTTTCCAGCTTCGGCTTCGTCTGCACGTGTGTATGTCGCCATTTTAGCGGACCGAAGCTACAAGTCCTCTTTTATCCCCTATTCAACACTTTGCGTGAACGCATGAACACACTTGTAGAGGGCAAGAGCTCGTAAATGTTTCTTTTTGCTTTGGTGTTGCTGAATTCTGTGCGTTCAGGTGGCTTTGTTTGAGGCATTTCTACATGGAGTCCCATACCATTCGATATAATATTCACCTATAGGAACAAGTTGCAGCAGCACTGCGGCACTGATTGAAAATTAGACATTGGGATAGAAAGCTAACACTTCCAACAGTGAGAGTTTCCGAAGCTCTCGAGTCCTGGAGAACAATGTTTAGCAGCTGCTCAGGAAGCTCAGGAAGTTAATAAAGTTTCCTCTACATTCAATAAAGGTATGGCAAGTTTTCTCGCACAGATATTATTGTTGGGAATATGGTTGCAACTAGATCGATCACGGAGAACCTTTGTAACAAAACTGCTGTTTATCGTGCAAAAGACGAATTTATGATTGAAATAGAGACTTACTTTCTTCTTCCTGTGCAAGACGCAATCCCTCTGTATAATTATTTTGGATAAACTATCCTCTTCAAGTAGGGTTGCGGGGAAAGTTAAGTGATAATACCTCTTCTTTCTAAACCAATCTGGCAAGAAAGCTATTCGTTGCAAATAACCAAGTATTTTTTTCTTGCGAAAGGTGCATGTATTTTTGAAATTGCAATCAAAGTACATGCGACGACCATGTCCGACCATGGTAAATGATACTTGAAAACGTCTACTCTTGGGCAAACGTTGCAAACGGAATTATCACAACATTCCACTTCACGACAACAACCACTCCACTCACTTGGGATCAAAATTTATCAAGCAGAGAAATGTCACTTTATCACCAAGTACTTATAGACGTCTTTGTCATTAAAAAAAGTGTAGGGACTAGGTTAGGCAAGACAACATCTTAATCGTGTTTGTATCATACTAGCAAGTGATCTAGTGAGACATATAGCAAGCAGTCATGAACCCATCCGCTTATTGTGCCTATCTCCCATCCGCTCATTTTGCCGCATCGTTCGCATATCCAAGTCGCTACATGAAAACGTGCCCCAGCTTATTAGAGACGCAGACGGTATGTTATTTTGAGCATATAACTTTTTCTCTTTCGGGTTTTTTAGGGTTTTTTGCGCTTTTTTGGGCTTTTTTGGGCATTTCCTGCTGGTCTCGCTTACTGCGACCTGAGGGTTCCTTCATACTACGCCGCGCACGCCGCGTACGCCGCTGCAGCGCAATGGAAATATGCTCATGCAGTGCTCCACTTTTTTTGATGTATCTCTATTGCTTATTATTATGAGCGTCATTTCATCATTTATTTCTGTACAGCTTTGACCCCAGATACGTTAACATTGTGAACTGTGAAGTCAGCGCCGACTTGAATGGTGTTTTGGAGAAGCAAACAAACTGCGGCAACAAAGGCGCATCAAATTTGCAATTGCAGTCTAACGGTATGAAGAAGAGAAATCCTTTTCATCCAGTGATGTGTTTGTAAGGAGATGTTAACAGCGCAAATATACAACTAGATACAACATACAACCATATACTACCAATATACTACCAGTGACGCAGTGTGCAGTCAGTTAGAATACAAAATGTGAAACTCGAAAGTAGAGGGAGCACAACAACCTAAGTCATTCCATCAGTCATTGATATAGACAAAGGATAGACAGAATAAACAAAGTAGAAGAGAGGAAGAAATGCATAATTTGAAAGAACACTATTGAGGGACACGAATGTGCAGCAAATATAGAGATACATCAAAAAAAAGTGGAGCTCTGCTATCGTGAGCATATATCCACTACGTACGTGGCGTACGCGGAGTACGTGGCGTACGTGGCGTACGCGGTGTACGTGGCGTACGTGGCGTACGTGGCGTACGCGGCGTACGCCCTGTGCGCGGCGTAGTATGAAGGAACCCTGAAAGCAGTGCTGGAGAAAAAAAAAGAAACAAGTCGTTAGCAGGTCTTACCATAATATGAGCAGAACGCAACAAGACCAGCAACGCTGCTTCCAAATAGTATGATTCTGCGTATTCGAGTGTTGCGCTCTAGACGTTTACAACGCTTCTCCTTCTCGGCATCCTCGTCGAATGTACGCTAAAATAGAATATAGTTGGGAACAGCAAAGAAGGAAACGAATAAAGAAGAGACGCAAGAGGTTGTGACATACGACTTTTGAATCATAACCACTATAAATTAGCATAACCCTCACTTTACCATGCCGGTACTTCACAGTGTGAATAACTCAGTGGCCAAAGGAAAAGATCGTTGCCCTTACATCACTCACAAAAAGAGTGACTTAGGTATGCATACAATGCTCGAATGATTACGCTCCAAATCTGGACTGAAGCGACAGCTCAATACTTTTTAAGTTACGGAGTTGCGCACAGCGCCGAACGGTCGCGCACTAGACAGGAATGATTCACTACTTTTTACAGTCAAGCATTTCAAAAAACTAAAATTCGATTGAAAAATCAAAAAAATCACGTGCCACATTGTACAGAACGAGTATCACCATGAAAACGATGAGATAGTTTGAAAAAGAAATATTTGATATATAAAAAGACGACCCTAGACTCACTTCGTCGCTAGTTCCTTTAGGTCCTTCAGAGCCAGAACTACTCTTGCTTCCTTGTGCTAATGCTCCTTTCAGCAATCCCAACTCTTCAATTGCCGAAAGCCTCTCAGATTCCTGCTGCTCTTTGTTTGGCTAGAAGGGAGATTCGTACTGATCCGTTATTTACTTAAAATCGGCTGACAGCTTGAAAAGACCTGTCAGCCGATTTTAAGTAAAGGAAAAAAGGAAAAATAGCAAGGATCGAGAAAAGCATTAAGTGAATATAAAAAACAAAATTTCGGAAGAGATGCCATACATGGCACTTAAAGGCAGTGTCCGGGCAAAGACTCGATTTCGAGATTTTGTGCTTAACCCGGGCCTATTCGCTACGCTGAATCCCAAAATCCACATGCAGGAGGGAAATCAGCAAGTGGGCGGGGTCTTCCCCACTGTGAATTCACGCTCCCAGCTTCCGGAGCGATCTTCTCTCCTCCGGTTTCAAGTCAATCATTCGCACTCGACCGGTAGCGATGAACGGACGGCTAGCGGAATCGAGAAGACCGCTTCGGAAGCTGGTAGCGTGAACTGATAGTGGGGAGGACTCCGCCCACTTGCCGTTTCTCTCCTGCGTTGGAGCCCTTTTTTGCCGTTTTCGCGCTTTCCAGTGTAGATTTTCGGATTCAGCATGGCGAATAGGCCCGGGTAAGCACAAAATCTCGAAATCGAGTTTTTGCCCGGACACTGCCTTTAACCCCACCTCAGGTTTGACTTCTTCCATAGACTTCGACGTGCTCATTGGAAAAGATTCAGATTTCGCCTTTTTGAGTGCATCATCTTTACGTTTTGAAGGATCTGACTGTGTAACAGAGAGATACTTCAGACTATCCGCAGCTAAGGGCCTCATTTTCTGAAAAGTGTTTTCCTCACTAATCACGAAAGAAGTTGGAAAGGAACGCATAAGGGTAACTCACCGTATATGTTGGATGTGCAAACGGACTGGCTACGCGATGTTCGGCGAGAAGTGATTTGAACGGCTTTTCGTTAGAATATGTTCGTATGATTGCAGCGTTACACCATCGTCTCGATACTTGCTTAGGAAGAATATCCAAGATGAGCCGCAACGCCATGATATGAACAACGGCGCCTAAAATGTACAAGATTCGTGATAGTCAACGCGCGAGGGTGCAAAACGAGAAAGGTAAATGCGTGATGAGTCACGAGTACAGATCGACTAATCAAAAAAAAAACCAAACACAAACTTGCAAATAAGTGGAGAACGAAAGTTGGTGAAAACTTCGAAAAATTCCAAGTACACGAACAGTAGCATTAGCATAGTCTTATCATTATTCATACTGCTTGTTCGTGAGTGAAAGAAGAAAACAAGCATATAAAATTAAAAAAAAACAAATGAAGTAAACGACCGATACTGCCCGAAAATGGCTGAGAGCATAAGAACTCAGATAACTATCATAATATGCGTTAAAAAAACGCGGATAATTCAAAAAAAAGCATGCCCGAGCAAATTTCTGCCCTTTCGAGCCTAAAAAATTACTTTTTGTGTCTTCTTAGCACTTCCACAGCTGCAAAAATCTGAAGCTTTCGCTAATACCAAGAGCGCGATGGAACCTCAAATAGAAATTTCCAAGTTTCCAAGTTTGGTTGGATGTAGGAAGAACAGTAGGTCTTCCCGAGAGCTTTCTCAGCAGACTCAAATTGGAAACACCACAGTGTCCAGTCTTTTATAGTCTAGTGAAGACCCATAAGCTAGCCGCTACTGATGACGCGCGCTTTTTAACCACCGAACAGTTGAAAATCAGACCGATCATAAGTTGTGTGGGAGGACCAACTGACCGAATATCCTGGTTCTTGAATAAAATCGTTAATCAGTTACTGGACAAAGTTCCGTCCCATTTAACCAATACGAATCATTTTCTGGAACGCTGACGCGATACGAGTTTGCCACCTGATTGCGTAGCAGAGTCTTTTGACGTGGTATCGTTGTACACCAATGTTCAAAATGACGATGCTCTACAGGCAGTTTCAGAAATGTTGAACAAATTTGGTGAGAAGATCCAGGCCTTCGGACTGAGTAAACGATCGGTAATGCTCCTGATCAGAGAATGTCTGTCTTGTAACATCTTTAGGTGGTCAGGAACATACTATGCTCAGTTGAAAGGTTTGACAATGGAACAGAAACTTGCACCAGTGCTCGCGATCTGCTTTATGAGCAGAATAGAAGAACCAGTGTTGTCACGTCTTCCTTTTATGTACTGCCGTTACATCGACGACTGTTGCATCATAACATCAACACAATCCGAAATGGATGAGTGTTTCCGATTGCTCAATCAACAGTCACAGTACATAAAGTTTACGCGACAACAACCGGAAGATGGTTGGCTTCCTTATCTCAACGTACAAATCAAACTGTTCAACGGCGCCGCGAATGTAAAATGGTATCGTAAAGAAAGTTCCAAGAACATCTTGATAAATGCTCGTTCAGCACATCCAACCGCTGCTAAAAGAGCCGTTATCCGTAACATGCTCCATACAGCAGCGAACGTGTGCACAGGTGAAGAAGAACGGAAGGAATCACAAAGAAGGGCGCTGGAAATCGCTAGGGTGAATGGCTACACGCTCCACAAAGGACGTGCTAAGCCGATCATTCCAATCAATAGCAAACAGCACCAACAAAAAGTTGCTCTTTGTCTTCCTTTCGTTTCCGACGCGACTAGTGCCGCAGTGCGACGTTGCATTAACCGCGCGAATTTGGAGGACGATGTCATTTTAATTGACATTTCAAGTGACAACATCAGGAAGCGGCTAGTACGTAATAGACTATATGACAACTACTGCAGGGTCCAAGGCTGCGTAGTTTGTCCATCCGGTAAAGTTGGCGACTGCGGTAAAGCTGGTGTAATTTACGAGATCAAATGCATTGAATGCAGCGCCACCTATATCGGAGAGACTGGGAGACCGTTGGGTGTAAGGGTAAAAGAACATCATGCCAGCAAGAAGAAGGGAAGTCTTACCACTCTTCTTGGTAAACATAGGGTTGAATGTCACGGTGATAATGACTTCAAAGTCAGATGTACTATACTGGCATACGAGTACGACACTGCTGTAAGAAAAGCTCTCGAGGCATTCTGGATTTATGCGAGAAACCCAAGTATGAACAGCCGGAGTGAGTGTATGTCGATTACTAATGACTTTATGCCTTTTGTGATCTGCGAGTTGAAGGCCACTAGTGATTAGTCCAAATATGGTACACAATGTATTCCATTATTATACTAGTGGCATCGAAGGACGGCCGCCTTAACATCCGCGCGCCGACGGTGGATGAGGTCAGTTCGTCTTTCACATTTGAGACTTTTTCTTGTGATATTCTGGGGCAAAATCGAGGCTGGTCAGGGCTGGTGGAGGATTTTGGTGGGTTAGACACATAATCGTAAATCTCCCACCACTTTAGGCCTCTGAAGAAGACGACTTGTTCGAAACGTTAGGCCGCCACTAATAAAATCTACTAACCTCGGTCGGCTTACTCACCTACTAACACACCTCAAATAGAACTGATTGGAAAAAAATTCGTTTGCATGAGAAAGCAGTCGTCCAGGATATAGACACGGCTGCAGTGATAGAAAATTATAAAAATAAAAGAGGCATGTTAAATGTGCACTCTCTTTAACATCTCATAAGGAACATTATAGATCCTCTGTCAACAGGATGTTCTGGTCATAAAACTACTTGGCAGTGGTAATTGATAATATATCTTTCTTGCGTTAACAGCGTTTGCGCGTAAACAATAACATCATGTGCTACATGGACATTTGTTACGCCCAAGTCGCAAGCAAATTGTCTAGAAAAGATTGTACCAGGGTCAAGCAAGGGGTGTGGCACACGATCGCTGGTTACGATCCTCCCACCCCCCCCCCTGATTGCTGTCTTAATAAGGCCCTCCCCCTCTCCCTGAATTATATACCTAGGATGCATTACCTGAAGGCCCTGTCAAACATAATGAGCAACATATTCATAATGAGCATGTCAATTAACCCCTGTAGACAAAGTTTGAGCGAATTCTGAAGATTTAAGATACTAGGTTACTTAACTTGAGTAAAATGGTCATTTTCCAACATGATTAACTTTGTTTTAAAGGTGAATTAGCTATCCGTTTTTGCACTCAAGACAAAGCACTACTCCTTCTTTGTCCACCTCAGAAATCCCGCTTCAAGAGACCTCCAATCTGTGGAATTAGAAGCCAACCAAAATCTCATTTTTCCCATTTTTCGCTCTCAATGGCTGTGCTTTCACCAAATACTTTTCAGAGCTAAGAAGACGAATCAGGCTTAAAACACTCCTATGACATCGAGGTTTGGCTATCGATTCATGTAAATATTGTTCGCTAAAAATGTCTTTTTGACATAGTTAATGGGGTGTGGCACTCCCCCTTAAAAGCTGTGGCTGCCACAGGAGTGATTTGAGCCTGTTTCATCATCTTAGCGCTGAGTAATATTTAGTAAAGGCGTAGTCATCAAAAGCGAAAAATGGGAAAAACGAGATTTTGGTTGCCTTCTAATTTCATAATTTGGAGATGTTTTGAAGCGAGATTTCTGAGATGGACAAATAAGGAGTAGTGCTTTGTCCTGAGTGCAGAAACGGGTAGCTAGTTTAGTTTGAAACATAGTTGTTCATATTGGATAATGACCATTTCACTTAGGTGGCCTAGTATCTTGAAACTTCAGAATTCGTTCAAACTTTGTCTACACGGTTAATTAACATGCTAATTATGGATATGATACTCGTTAAGTTTCGTAGCACCTCTATATTATGCTAGGGTAGTCAATATCTCGTGCTTGTATTTCGCGTACCTGGCAAACTGCTTATCAATATCATGTTATCACTATTAACAGACTACCCGACTACGACCCCTCCCCTTTTGACTCCTCAATACGACCTCCCAGCTGTGGCTTGCCACACTCCAAGCTTGACTCTGGAAAGGAGTGCTGTCCGACAGGTATTTTCAACAAACATTGATTGCGCGTACTCTTTGCGATATATCAAATAAATCTGCAAATCGAGGTAGTAAGCCATTCAACGCGATTGGTTGATTATAGAGCACATCGTCAGTTTGTTTCAAAAATGTTAGTAAATGGTTTCACCACACTCCTAGTAAATGTCAGATGCATAATATCGACTCGAGATGCAACGCTTTTTCAACTTCCGAATGTTCTGATTAATAGAATCAGGGCCCGGCACAGATCGTCTGGAAGCAGGCTGCACTTCGTTTTTGGAGCGAAAAGTAAAGGAGATATCGTTTTTGACGAGTTGGGGCCAAACAACAAGAATAAGCGCTATTTAGTCAAACACAAGCTTTTCGGGCAGGTTATCGCACGATTGACATGCTCTATCGTGTAGGGCGAAAAGTGCGCGCGATTTGAAAGCAAGGCTAACATTAAAAAAATTTGCTTGTTTACAGCGCACACAGAATCGTATGACACCAAAATTAAACTTATGCATAGAAAATTATTTGCAAAAGGATTATGAAAACGATTTGAAAACTTATATGAAGTATTACTTTTTCCAAATTTAGTCCGTCTTGTCAGGATAAAGGTTCATGACGCCTTTACCTGATGCGTAGCGGGTTACATCAGTCTTACTATAATATTTATTATACAAGTTATATACAGAAGGAGAAAGGGAAAGGGGGAGAGGGCCCCGGCTCCTGCCGGCGGGCGGGGGTCACTGCCCGAGGTTCGCTATCTTAGGCCAAGCTCCATTGCGAGCAGCTGGGTAATAGCTGCGTCGCGACATCTCCATTCCTTCAGAAAGCTCGTCCTCGAGCTTATTTGGCTGTTGATGAATGTCTTCCGAGTAATGTGTGTAAGGAGTACAAGTGATAGATTAGACCTCGTAGATTTCATAGGAATGTTTTAAGCCTGATTCGCCTTCTTAGCCCTGAGTAATATTTGGTGAAAGCACAGCCATTAAAAGCGAAAATGGGAAAAACGAGATTTTGGTTGGCTTCTAATTCCACAGTTTGGAAGTCTTTTGAAGCGGGATTTTTGAGATGGACAAAGAAAGACGTGCTTTGTCTTGAGTGCAAAACGGATAGCTAATTCACCTTTGGAACAAAGTTAATCATGTTGGAAAATGACCGTTTCA